ACTATGCATATTTCCTGTTTGGTACCGTACCGGCTTGTTTTGTTTGTATGACCGCCATTGAATACAAACCAGTTGGAAGAGAATGAGGTGCGCGAGAACGCTGGGACCCTTTGTTAACCTGGATCTTCTCTCTATTTCGCCCTCATGTCTGTCTCTTGTTGCACAAAATTACCCCCACTTCCTCACCACCTCGGCCGTATCTAGACCCACAGCTAGCTCCTGATTGTCCCTCTTGAGTTGTGGCGTGGAATAACATAGTGCAGACCACACAGGAGTACAACCAGCCCTTAAAGGAATAGTACACCCAAAACATGATTAGCCTTCATTTTCTACTCACCCCCATGCTGAACAACACTCTGGAGTACTTTTTTGATATCTCAAATGCATCTGGAGATCTGGGAGGCTTCTTGCTGTCTGCTGACATTCAAATAATGGAGGTCTATGGCGCCCAAGACAGGTCCATAAAAGTCCACAAAAAACGTGTCAATATTCCTCCATACTGCTCGTCCAATGTATTCCAAGTGTCCTGAGTGGGTAGCATCCAGAATTTACTCGAAACAAAGTCATTTAGAATGTTTTTAGAGCATAAACAGTAGTGTATAGGATTTCCTGAAAGCGCGCGGCTGCGCGTTCACGACGCTACGGAAACCGCGGCAGACCAAACCAGATGAAAGTGCGCATTCAGCGTCTGCTCTGCCAATATTGCAAGCGTAGAAGAAGAAATGTGCTGTTTACCTGTGCAAAGAAAGAAACAACGAAAGAAAAATGTCTGAGGACTTCAGTGTTGAGGAAGAACATGAGTTCTTTGCCGAGCTGAATGCGCTGGTTTGGTCTGCCGGCTTCCGTAGCTTCGTGAACGCGCAGGTGCGCGCTTTCAGGAAATCCTATACACTACTGTTTATGCTCTAAAAACATTCTAAATGACTTCGTTTCGAGTAAATTCTGGATGCTACCCACTCAGGACACTTGGAATACATTGGACGAGCAGTATGGAGGAATATTGACACGTTTTTTGTGGACTTTTATGGACCTTTCTGCCTCGGGCACAATAGACCTCAGCAGACAGCAAGAAGCCTC